GGCACACCAGCAGCAACGTCTCAAGGCCAGAAATCAAAACAGCTTGCGTTGTCAAGGCTGCTCTCTTCCAAACCTAGGGATCTGCGCTGCAAGCAACTTGGCTCACCTCATGCAAAACTTTCGTAAAAAGACCAAAGCTTGCATTATTCAAAGTTTCGATCAACGCTTTAGCACCCGGATTCAAGGAATGATGCATAACTTGTGCTGCCACTTCTTGAAGGTAAAATTCTAAGGTTTTCACCCATTCCACCGTCCACGCCAGCAAATTAGAGGAATATTTTCGGTCTGAAGATACAAACAAGTCGCTCCTGACCCGCGAAGACTCCCAGGGGTAACGCCTTTGTGCACCTGCTTGCAAGGCACCCCTAACACAGTCATGACCGCGTTCCACTGATTCCTATACATGCTGATTGAACCACCAAAAAGTCGTTCTTTTAGGCCAGCCGAACCAAACATGGCATCAACGAAGGAAATAATTTCAGGATCGGAGATCTTCACATGCTGTTGCCTGGCGAATCTGAACGTTTTCGGGTTTTTCAAGTGGACATACAAAACCTCGGTGGAGAAAAATGTATCTCGAGGCAGCATCAAATCACAACGTTCCAAAAAGATAAATTCGGATGGGTGAAGCATTCCAGCAAATGCGATCATTGTGACCGCAGCCCACCTGTTCCAGTTCCATAGCATTGCAACGCAAAGAGCGGCCCTGAAAATGGGCAAAGACAAAACTGGTCGGCATTCGCCGGGTTCAGCAACTTGCCACTTCTTGTCTATTTGCCAAGCGGGCCCCATAAATGGCCGATGCTGCGGGAAACAATCTTGGATTGCAGTTATTGCGTAAACATACATGTAACGCGGATAGCCCTTCCGATACAAATGCATGCCGTAGGCTCTGAGGGCTAAACTGCAAGTCTGATGCTCATGCATCAAAAGATCAAAATCAATCTGCAACTCGGCTGTGGTCCACTCACGAAAGGCTTGCAAGCATTTCTTCATGCGCTGCGATGTCGCTTTTGCGAAGCCGATTTCCATGTCAAGTTCACCTCTGCTTCGCCTTTGTTTGTCAGCAAACACTGGGCCTGGATTTCGCTCAACGTCACCAGAGATCAGCAGTAACAGACGGATCCACCGCCCAATCACTTTGGGATATGCTGAAGCTTGGCAAATCATGTCAAAAACTCTAAAATCTCCACGCTCCAACGCAATAAGCCAGGCTGGCTTGCTTTTTGTTGGCCCCTCTACCTCACGTTCACGAGACGGTGCGTCGGCTCGGTTTTTGGCTGAATAAACGTGAAGGGTCCCCGGGTAAAGATTTGAACCTATAAGATACGGGATGGTCTTTTTAAGAACCCTTGAAATTGCAAAACTGCTGGATCTACCCTTTGAAGCGGCTCCGATCGTAACTCTACTGTCAAGTAAACCTATTACCCGATGATTGAACAAAGCTTTGGCACAATGCTTTATCCAAGACAAGTAGACCTGACTTTCAAGAACGTTGATATGATTGCCCTTCCTAAACTTGTATTTAAACAATGTAGAAAATTCAAAGGAATCAGCAATTTCACCAATCCACTCGGGGTCCTCGAACCAGGCTCGCGACTCCACTGCTGACTCGGACGAGTTCAGGGGTTCAAAAGCTGGCTCTAAAACGCCCGGAATTTCAAGGCCAACCCTTCCCAGAGAATCGAATGTCAATAATTATTACTGACATTCGTGAATGTTTGAATTATTTCTGACATTGGCCGATGTCAGTTCTGAGAACCGACATTCATAAACTGTATATTTTCATAAAAACTCCCAAAAGCATAGGCTGCAGTGCGCATACCTTGCTGAATTTTGATTTGTTACCATGGTTTTCTACACTTAGTTTTGTTTGTTCTCAAAATACACACCCAACAAATCATAATTTGTGACAGCTAGTGCGAGTTTGTGAAATGAGGTCCTGGTAACTGGTATGTGGATTGATTTGAGATGAGTTTGCAATGTGGCATGATTGTTAATACTGTCCTGTTGTTTGTAAAAGGTATAAACAAGGTCTTTCTGCACCTCAAGCCTTCCATGATCTTCCATGTTTTTTTGGAGCAACTCCCGTGCAAAGTGCCAAACATTGGCCATTTGTTTACGCTACCTTCAAAAGATGAAAAGGTATGCTCAGACTAGGCCATAGTGTGCAGTGGTACGCAATAAGTAATTAACACCGTGTGTGTCAAAACTTTCTTGATTGCTGTTCGTTTGATGTTCCATGATTTTCCCATTTTTTGTGGTGGTTTTCCCAAATTGTGAAAAAGTCAAAGGGTAAATTAGTTCTGTGGGTGTCTAACCTTCATGATAGATTGGGCTCACCGAAATGTTGTTGCTTAATGTTTTATTTTTTAGGTTTGAATTTGGTGTTCAGCTAACATCGTAAAGTCCTGACGTCTCGTATTCCCTGACGTCTCGTATTCTGCTAATCTTTTGATTAAAGCCATTTTGCCGCAGCTAAGCTATATATATAATATACATGCATATACACAGAGAGAGAGAGAGACATTTTGCAGTTTTACATGGTAAGTAGTAAATTAGAATATGAACTGCCGCCAGTCACTACATAATATCTAATTTCTTGTTGATTCTTCTTTATTTAAACCCAATGTCCCTAATACAATCAAACCCTACAAGGTGTTCAATGGGCTAGTTGTGAAATTCAGTTCCGCACAGAATTTGTTCGGCGCAGCAACAGAAGAAAACAGAAGCGACTGGGGCCATTTCTCTAACCAAATATGAACCAGCTGCGCGGGTACATGAGTACAACTTTCGATCAGCTCCATATTGACACATAAAACACAACAAACTTGGGGAGTTCCAAGATGGGGGTTCCTGAAACACTTGGTGGAGATGAAAACTTGCTCCGTGTGGGTGGTAAACACTTAGCATGTAAACGCTGCAGCCGCACTTCTACCATCTAGCTGCACGAGACCAGCATTAAAAACAAACAAAACAACATGATCAAAATAAATACCAAAAGTGCCAATCGCACAGGCAGCTGTTCAGCTTAGGAAGCCTTCGTATACCGCCGTATTGACGTCTCAAGAAAAAGAGATGGAACAAAAACTGTTGGGAGAGGGCTTCAATCACATGTTACAGGAAGAACGGTAAAGTGCCAGAGATTGTGCAAACATATAACTTCTTGTTGAATCTTATTGACAATATTGACAGAATTTTATTTTTTCTTAGGCGCACTGCGTGTGAACAACTTCCAGAATCAATAAATATCAAGGCACACTGCGCGAAATCACGCTAAATCACGCCAAATCACGTTAAATCACGTATGACTTACAAATCTTCGTTAATGTATGTTCTCACAACTGACATTCGGCTGTTTTCTTTATGAATGTATGTTCTCAGAACTGACATTCATAAATTTGCATTTTTCCATAGTGTGTCAAATCACGCGAAATCACGCGGAACCACAATGCTGCTATGATCCCCTTTGCAAAGCAAAACCAGTAATTAATAAAACCTCATTGCATTTGGTTGTTTTGGTTCTTCAAAATCTCAGCCACACTGCTTATGCTACGCATCAAATGTCCTTTGCGTTATCTATTTGTTTGGTAGTTTACTTAGCACCATGGCCCTCAAAATGATAGACGAAAGATGGCAACGCAAATTCTGCGCAAAGTAGCATCATGCAGTTGCATTGATAGATATGGTCCTGGTCTATGCGTGTAAACCTCGGCTGCCTCAACCTTCCCAGTCACAAGACCAGAACAACCTAATGCATTGTTGTGCCTTTTTCCACCACTTTTGGCTAAACTTCGGCATGAAACTCCCCCAAATGCATGAACTAAATTGGGGTTGGACAAAGTTTTACCTACATGACTTTATTGTGTTTGTTCTTACCGTCTTAATAAGGGCCGTACAACAACCAAATGTTGGCAAACCGACCTACACTTCTAGTGAAAGGAGCCAACTGGTTCACTGGGTGGTGGTTTGACACAGCCAGTTTTCCACATTTTTGTGTATATATATATATACATGTGTTAGATGTATAAGCATACAACATGTACATATTGTATATGTTTTAACTATGCATATTATGATGCATATCTGTGATAGTACATGAAGCACAGCTCATGGCTGGCCAGCCATTTCCAGCCGATCAAACGATTAGTAAGTATCCAGGTCGAAACATCCCGTAAACCAATGCCCAATAAAAACAAACAGCAAGTCGGGACTGTTGCATGCCATCCGCCGCACTATTTACACTAAATAGTTAATGAGTTTATGCGAGGCTCATGTGCTTGGTAGGACTGTTCTCATTAGAAACACTAGGTTGAAGTTCGAAGGTCTGACATGGTCCGACTAATTTAGATTAGCGCCATGATGTGGACTCAGCACCAACAACCTTAACGTTTGCTGGGCTCAATGAGTTGGAGTCTTTCAAATTGAGCCAGACAAAACCTCACATAGCATGTTACAAAATTCTTTGGATGGTGCTGTTGAAGGTAAAGGAATCCAACGCACTCTAAAACAGGAGGATTCCAGGTAGTAAAGTGCACAGCCTTCAGCATTCCAAAATCTCAGTGTTTCGTTTCTGGGGCATGTGGCTTTCATTCTTTCAGACCATGGCCTAACAACCTCTCTCAGTTGAATTCAGCTGGCAGTTGAAACCTGAGTTTTGATGAAGGGTCAGTCAAACTTTTACTGCATTGTAACACAATTGCAAGCATGCACAACAACATACAGCACATCATTAATTACCATAGATAAGTTCTTAAACTGAAAGTGTGAAAAGTCATCAGAACTCATCACAACTGTCATCAAATGAAACAAACATATACTATGTCTTTAAAAAGAAGTCATGAAGAGTCACACCAAAGTTACACTAAACCATATAAAGTCATCCAAAGTCACAAAAAAGTCATAAAAGTCATAAATTATGAAACATTTTCGTGAATGTCTGTTCTGAGAACCTACATGCCGAATGTCAGTTCTGAGAACCGACATTTGAATGTAAGAAACTATTGCTGACAGAGATTGTCTGGGCTTTTAAACGAAAGCAGGCGCGCACTAAGAGGCATGATTGATGGACCTTCTTTCTTACAGCTGCTACTTCCTTGGGCCATGCGTGTCATGAGACTAGCTGGATATTGGGCTGAGTAACTGGACACAGCTTCTCCAACCATAGGCAGGCGTCCGTACACAGCAACTGCACTTGGCTCGCATCGTTGATTGAACTGCTCAATGGAGTTCCTGGTGAACGAACCCTTGATGGTAAAATGTTTGAACTTCCAACGACACTTGCAAGGCCCTTCAAACTGCAACAACCAACTTTTGTTATGGAGCCACTGGGATGGTTTATTGAACGCTGAACCGAAGTTACAAAAAGCCATCCTAGTTACAACACACCCGCGCTGAACAAGAACCCTGAAAAGATGCATGCTGAACATCACAGACGATCCTGGCTGTTCGCAACTGAAGTAGGCTCCAGCGCTAACAGCAACAAGGCCCAACATGGCCGTTCGGCGGGCAAGGAGGTTGTGTGCAGCAGTCACTGGCTCATTCATGTTAAAGCCTGAAGGGTGTTGGGTATTGCGGAGACGGGAGCGTCTCAGCGTGCCAAAGGTCAGGCAAGGAGGTCCAGCATGAAACTCTCTGACTACCCTACGGTATGCCAAAGCCATGACTTCATGAAAAATGCTCTTGTCTGATAAGTCATTGAAAAACAGACGGTTTTGGTTCTGCTGATAGCCTGGATGCACTAAAAGTCCTTGCCGCTGGTGAGCAAGGGACCATCCTCCTGAGCCACGGAATATTTCCACACAATCATAGAGCACTCCCTCTTCAAGGCCCGGTGGAATCTTATGCTTTGGCACTTCAACATGAGTATTTACAAGGTTATCGAGTTCGGGGCTATGAGCATTCTCTATCCCATGTTCGGCAAGGATAGCTCCGGCTGGTCCTAGCAGATTAGTATGATACCCACGCTGTTCGGCGTGTCGCCACAGTTCTGAGATCAGGGGCTCAGAGGTTTTTGCTGAAACTATCGCTCCACCGTATGGTGAAGCATCCAGTGAGAACAGCTTTTCACAAAAACTCACCCTTAAGTCCGCTGGTGCGCACGGCCCCAGCAAACAAAGGGATATAAGTTCGTGACGTGAATGAGACGACAGGCAGAAAACTTTGGTTGAGGGATAGTTCAACCCTTCTTTGAACAAGGCATCAATGAGCGCTAGTAGAGGTCGCCTGAACAAAACCACATGAACCCAACAACCCAAAATGGAGCTGAGAATCTGTCTCGTACAAGTACCCAATTTCGCAATGAGAGAAGTCATCCAAACAAGCAACAAAACACGAGACCGCGGTGCGCTGACACGGCCCTTTATACCATCGAAGTCTGCCCCCAAAATGGTTCCCCGGGTCTCATCTCTACGGGCTTTACCTGGATGAGAAACTAGACCCACCTTCTTATAGGCTTTTTGCGCTGCATCAAAAACCCGGGTGTCCCGTAAACTTGGCCTTTTCGGAAGATCTTCCAAGGGTAGCCGCTGGACACCGATATGATCATCAATAGCCAAAAGTTCAACGAAATCACCTCTTGGGATGGGCTTGCGATATTCTAAAGTCTCCGACTCCAGCATACTGCCGCCTTCCAACTGCAAAAGGGCATGATGGCTCCCCTGAGCTATCTCCACTGCGTGCCCATCGCCCATGGCAAGGGTTGCCAAGGCTGGGTAGTAGGGGCCCTCAACCGCAGGATCAAAACAAGACAAACTTCTGACTTCGGAGGGGAAAACCTTGGTACCGATGCAATTCCGCTTAGCACGGGCCCTTGGCACCTTGAAAGTGTAATAGAAATCTGACAAGTCGTCTGCAGAAAATCGAAAGGCCTCACCCGCCTTCAGAGTGAGAAGAGCTAGTAAAGCGCCGGGGGCTAACTTTTTGGTGTAAGCACTATATGCCATCATCCTGGAGTTCAACACAGTCCAGGAGAGGTTGTGAGGCCATAAGGATCACCCTTGCGGCCAAAGACCACATAGTGCATCTTAGGTGTTTTGCAGGAGTTGAAATGGTATGGCAAAGGTCTGGGCTATACCAGTCTAAAGATGAGAGACAACGCTCCGCTACCATGCCCACCTCACTCCAGTCTTTGTTTTCTTCACTGGAGTGCTCAAACTTGGTGATCCAGGTGCATCCAGAATGTTCAAAACCCAGCTAGCTCACCTGTCAGCTTTTTTTCAAAGCTGCACTTATCACACAGATCTTGAGCCATAAACCCTCACACACACACCTATAGCTTATATATTCACAAACTATAAGAAACGTCATGTCTCAAAGTCTCAAAGGTCGATGTTTTCCAACAGCTTGTTCGCTTCGGCGCATTTGCGCCGCTCGTTCTCTCTAAGCTGTCTTCAACAGCGCACTAGAGCCGAGCCAGTGAAGAAGCGCCAGCACACAGTAGTGCTCTAAGCAACGAAAACTTTGTGTACATGGGTGAGAGTGCTTTGCTAAGCGCTTGAGCTTCCCATTCAAGTCCTCATCTAAATACGTCGATGTGTGCCTTGGATTGTTCTTGTTGTAGGCAAGGAAGTCTCTGAACAAGTGCTCCGACGCGTGCATCTTTGGGTACATAGGATACCGCAATGACCGGCCAAACAGAGCCGAGGAAGATAGATCTCAGAAACAATCATCGATTTAGCTATATAGAAAATCAGTCGATCTACTAGCCCACAGAACTTAACAGCCCGGGCGCAATTGTATGATTCTCTGAAGATATCATAGGCCATCAGGATTTCTCCAATGGCAGAATCATCGTGGATGAACTTCCTCAAAACTAGTGAAGTGCTAGGTTTCTTCCCCTCACAGGTTTCCACTACTACCATTTTACTGTTCCACTGCTTTTTCTTTAGCTGCCGTGGCTCCCATGGAGAGCCAGCTCTGCGTAGATCTTGGTCAAGGATCCAAAGAGATTGGACCGGTGCCTTGGTGATCAAATCAAACTGGGAAACTTCGGAGACCTGCAGGGCAACATGTTCAGCTGGAGTGATCCTCAATTGAAACCAGATACTTTGCAAGAGCAGTGGACCCATCCACACACGCACGGGCATAGGTGAGCTCAGCGAGCCAAAAGATTAACATGCGATTGGCCGCACCTTTGCAAATCTTTTGGGAAATATGGGGATAGCCTCAGTTACAAACGGGAAAGCCACACCTCAAGGTGAAGGAATCCAACAAGATCTTCAGATTGGGAACTGTTGCTGCTAGGCAGTAGCGTTTTCGCTGTGAACAGCTTGGGAGATGCTCGAGATGCATGTGGCACCCCTCAGGTTCATAGATGGGAGTCTGAAGTGATCAAGACTCTCAAAATTCTGCAACCAATCTTCAGACAAATCTGACAAATGTGACTAAGGCACTTTGTTGTTTGCAAAACTCGATATAGGACATGTGAAGATCTGATAGCCTTTGGTCCCTCGTGCCAGCACCAGCATCGGTCATATCCAGAAGGCACCCACAGATTGAATCAGGGAGAATTTGAAGATCCATGACATGTAGGATGTCTCCATACAGCCCTAGGGGGAACTGGAAGGCTCTTGAACTTTCTTTGACATTTGCAGTCCACATAAACTTGGAGCCACTAGCTGCATCAAAGCTACGCCATGGATTGAAAGCAGGGATCATGACCAATGGCGTCAGTCCATTGATCTGGATGAAATCCTCCTTGTTCTGGATCAGCCTTGAACAACAGGAAAATGTTTGCTTCAACTTACAACGCCACAGGAACACCATGTTTGAGGTTTAGGCTGCTAAGAAACGTGTCTCTGTGAGCTGCGTTCTCTCCCCAGTAGGTGTACAACATTGACTGGGCGTCGTCACTGTCCAGTCGTTGACATGCACAGCAAAAGGGGCAAATCATCTTCCTCATGCTGTGCCAGGATCCTCATATGAACTGCGTGTGCCTGTTTCCAATTAAGCCAAGTCCAACAACAGAAACAATAGTGGCGACACAGCTTATAGATAGAACAAGGTTCGTGAAAAACGGAAGGTCTTGTGAAGCCACTCCTGGTCACCTTGAAACCCGTCGAGTGCAGCTCGCCAAGATCCCGCCAATAGCTGGCCCGCTCGAAGTGCAAACTCAGGATGATATTCACTGGAGAAGCTCTGGCCCCATGGATCAGAAGCAGGCCATCGTCCCGAGCCTTTGGCCCAAAAAAGAAATCAGTTCAAGGGCCACCAGGATTCTACCAAAATTCTCAACAAGAATTCCATGGGCTGGACCAATGGTTTTCCAATTGAGCTGGAGCACTCATAGCTGTGAAGCTCCAAGCCACCCACTGAAACAAACAGTTCCGCGTTGCTTCATTGGTATAGGTCGTGCTCCTCATGCAAAGCCTGAAGTCTCAGCGTAACAGAGGCCTGGAAGGTTACATAACTTAAAACCACAGACCAAGGGGCACAATCCGGGTGTCCATAGATGATGAAGAGCTCGCACATGTAGGAATCATACTGATCACTTCAATATGCTGCCCACCTAAAGGTCCAAGAGACATAACATCAATTGGTATGACATGGTAGCTAGGAAACCTGTGTTGCGGCCAGAGGGCTGCTTGAAATCTCCACCTCGTCTCCATACAAGCGAAATGGAACCACTGAAGATGGGAAGTGTTCCGGGGCCTCACCAGAAGCATACCCATGCACACAGACACACACACACACACCACCTTGAAGCTTCAACAGCCTCAGGATCTTCACGCCAAAGATCACGGAGTTCAGCTTCAAGATCTGGGTTCATGTCCCAGTACTCCTGAAGAGCCTGGGCTGAAAAAGATCGAAGCAGGGTTGATGTTAAGCTAGGACATGCATGTGCCTTTTCAACGTTGGAGCCATGTAACAAGAGGGACTCCAGTGAGCATGGAGTTGAACAAGAGCCCATTCTGGAATTGAAAAAAATGGGCAAAGATTGCATGTGGCAGCAAGAGCCCGACGTCAATCTCTTTCCGTTGGTGTTCTTTTTTGGCCTTGGAGCAATTAAGAAAAGCAATCTCAAAACACACCGCAAACGTTTGATCTTTTCGATATTCCAGGAAAGTTACTAAGTCCGTGGCATTTGGGAATGTCAGCCTCAGGTCAATAGAAGTTCAGGTTTCACCCCATATCTCACTCCATGTTGGGAATCTCAAAAACATTTTCATCAAGGTGCTTCAGGACTGGCGGCAGAACCTGCCGGCACGGTTGCCGCGCGATCCACTTGCTGAAGGCCCGCTCGAGGCCCCATCCACCAGATTGCTCAAAGCAATCAACCAAATCAATAATGGGCGACCTGAGCTTTTTCTTAAGAAATGCACCCACAGGTTTTGAGATTCACAAGATGCTGCAGGTAAAGGCCCGTACGGCACAAGGTACTCCGGCATCTCTCCAATAGCCATGAGCAGCTTTTTCAAGTCCCTCATAGAAGCCTCGCCAATAACAACCCTATCGTAATCAAGCTTTACTTTCCTCCACAAAAAGCTTGCCTTCCCAGACGTCAGCATCTCAACAAGCTGCACCACCAAAGCACCAGCGCCCCGGTCTTTCCGAGGAATCTTCGAAGGAGCACCTGCGATAGCTGCTGTGGCCAAATGTCTCAATGGGCCGCTACTTGGCTGGTGTACAAACAGCACAGAGCTGTACGGATTGTTTTCACCACAGACATTTGCAGAGTCCCATGGCTCAATGCATGGGTGCACCCCCAAATCGCGCTGGTATCACAACGCTTGCCCATTTGGACCTGGAAAAGGGGATTTGATGGACTTGGAATTGGACCTTTAGGTCTGTGCAAAAACATGTAAAAACCAGTCAGGTCCACCTAGGCCTTTTCTTCGGACACCTTTTTCTGTCTCGCTTTCTCCCCTTAGGAATGAATACAAGGTCAGACAATATGAATAAAGGTAAAGAAGAACATTTGAGAATGGGGCTGCTCTTCCAAGTACGGACCTGGGACTTGACACCATCGATGAAATCTTCACTTTCCTGAGAAAGGACTGAAATCTTTTCCATTGATCAGTTTTACTGACATGGCCTGAACCATCTTTTTCTTGTTGTCCCATTTTCGCAGGACATCTTTGCACGACATGCCCTTGACCATCAGGTCATCATACCTGCAAACAATACATGCTATTTTGGGAGACAGGTAAACACACTAATATCACTAGCTGAGGGCAATACTTGGCAGCCAGTTCCGACAGATAAGTGTGCTTCTCCTTGATCTTCTCGTGGGACTCCTGGACACTGCAAACCAATTAAGGAAGCGCTACACCGCTGGAAGCTTCCGACCTCCGTGTTGGGATACTTGGCAAGATCTTGTCCAACTCCAATTGCCTTCTTGGCAGTACTTCGAAGCCTTACTGAACCAGACCAAAAACAAATTCCAAATAATCTAAATGTTTCTAAGGAAGCTCAGGCTTCAGCGACTTGATGATTTTGTCAACTTCTTTCTTGTCTTTCTCCTCTTGCGTTTGTTCCTTGGGCTTCCTGGGACTTTCGGGCCCTGGCCCATCCCCCTCATCATCACTCCCCTTCTTCCCCTTCCGTCCCTTGCCCTTAGGCCCTTTCTTCTCAGCTAGGCCTGACATAGGAAAAGGCCTCATGAGGTCGAGCGCTGCCCCCAGGGCCTTCCTGTGGTCGGTTTCAGTACTCGACGGTTTGGAACTGCCGGGGACTCCACTAGCAGAGTCTTCAGGCGCCACATCATCAGGTGTGTCCGGCTCTGGTTGCTCCATGCTACCCCCACCACTGATCTTGGTCCCTGCACGGTTCTCATTCCCACCTCAGCTGAAGGTTGTGGATATAGAAGGTTCTAGGAGGTCAGAGAGCAAGTGTTGTGCAAACAAGGCGCTTTTGGTTTTTCTTCCAGTGAAGACCCGGTATATTCGATAGTTCGGGTTCTTTCTGAACTGCAGGCAGAAGATTGAAAAACAACCATCCAGACACATACTATCCCAAAGCCTCTTTCTTCGGGTGTGGCGTTCCCTTCTGTGACTTCACGATGTCAGCAATGTAGGCCCTCACAAGTGTTTTGGGTTAGCTTCAAAATCCAAAAGAACAAAAACCACCAGGCAAGCCTTCCAGCTTCAGTCCCACCATATTTCTCTTGCAAATCCAGGAGCATCACCTCCTCGTATGTCTCATAGTTCTTAGAAACATCAGCCCTGAAGTGGCAGGCAAGGACACATCCCCACAAATTCTGACCTTACAGCTAAGGACGCAGCGACTCCATGTATGCCATCATCTTCACATCCCGCCTGGAAGATTGGTGCCAATCACAGTTGACCGTTGAGACTTGTCCAAAGTGCACAAGGGTTAACCGGGCAGGAGTGCAGTTCATCACTCAGCAGGAACTTCTTCAGAAGCTCGAACCTATGAGCATGGAGAGTTGCAGCCAGGTTTGGTCACTAGAAGCCACACAAACAAGATGGGGGTGCTTCTTGGTATGACTTCCAGCTGCTTCATAGTAGGCGTTCATCAGCTTCGGCGGCAGACCTGCATGAAGATAAGGGGATCAAGTATGAATGAAGCTACAATTAATCTAAGCCAGACCTCCCTGCTCAAACCGTCGGTCGAGTGCACGGTAGAGACATCTTCTTTCCTGGAAAAACATATTGCTCAAACATCAAGTTTTTGGAAGTGTTTCCGTCCTGAACATCGATGTCACTGGCCGAAGTAGCCCTCTCAATTGCAGCCTTTTGTTCATCAGACAAGTTCTTCACCTTAAAGCAAAAGACTTTCCATTCTCAAGTAAGAAAAACACGCATAGCTGAGGACAGCACTCGCTTCAGGCGGCCGGATTCATCGCGGACTGCCAATCCCCGAATCTTGATGTCACCGCCGTTTGCCTGCAGGAAGGGATCAAGAACAATGTTTGTCAGCAAAGGCAAAGTACAAATTCAACTCTCAGATCTAGCTGCATACTCGATGGTAGCTGATGTATCCGACTTCATCCTGAGATCAGTGCACATGTCAACATTCTTTTTAAAACAGTTAAGTTTTTCCAAACCAGTATTACTATACATAGCCAAGGGTCAATGCAGGTCTAGTTGAACCGGATGGATCACCACCTGGACCAAAAAAACAATGAGAAGCACATGCGTGATACGTTGAACGCCTGCATCCAGTGTGGACTCGGTCTCCTTAGCCGAATCTTCCTTTACTTCCCCTGAATAAAGAAAACATACAACAAACAGGGGCAAGTGTGCCCATCACCTGCATCTTTCTTTTGTTTCTTTGTTTTTTCTGGCGCAGGCTCTGCAGGTTCACCTGAAGAGATCCAATATCTCAAGGAAAAACAAAATGGAGTTCTAAGCACCTCGATCAGCCTTTTGTTTTTTTCTCTCCTCAGGCTGCTTTCCCGCCGCCTCCCCTGAAACAGACAGGGTGCGGAAAGAAGTGAAAAACAAATATTTCCTGAGCGCCTGCGTCAGTTTTCTTTTTCTTCTTGGGCTCCATTTCCGCCGACTCCCCTGAAAGAGACAGAGTGTGGAAACAAGTGAAAGACAGATGACCTGAGAGCCTGCGTCAGCTTTCTTTTTCTTCTTGGGCTCAGGTGCCTCCACACCTGGTGACAGGGAGACGAGAAGATATGAGAAGATACCATATAGTGGAACACAAAGCGTTAAACATTTGGGCATCACAGTGGCCTCCAGCAACTGTTCCACTCTTGCTGCTCGAAGCACCGTGTTCACCAGCGTGTAGCTCTTCCAAACTGTTTGCATTAGCCTCCTTCACCAACAGCGTCTCAAGAAACTTCACAAAGCGAACACAAGGCAGATCTTTGAGAAGGAGCTGGATGGCCTCCTTCTTCTTCTTCTTTGTTTCAGCCACAGGCTTCATGGGTCTCGCTTTCTTAGCCTCCTCCTGTGAGAGCGTCTGGAGAAAGCTCACAAAGCGAACACATGGCAAATCCTCAAGTTGCAACTGGCCGTCCTCACGTTCAGCAACACTCTTTCGCAAAGGTGCACTTTTCAAAGCTCGCAATTCCTCTGGCGACAAGCTGTCTAGGTCTACATTGCCATCCTTGATCGCCAGCGCTGCAGGCTTTGCGCTGCTCTTTGCTTTCTGTGATGCCCGCTGTTGAAGCTCACGCTGACGTTGTTCTGCTTCCTCCTGTTCCCACTGCATTCGTTCTGCTTCCTCCTGTTCCCACTGCATTGTGAGGTTTTCCTCCCACTCAGCCCACTGTTCCTCAGTCCAGTGAAAGCTCACACGTCTTTCCACTGGTGGAGTATGCTCTGGCAACTCAGCTGCCTCAGAAAAAGGTAGCTTCCTGCGGACATTGTCATTCGACTTGGCGCGTGGATCAATCCAGCCACTGGGCTTCTCAGGCTTGGGTGGGGCTACACGACCAGCCTTCAAGTCTTTACCCAGTTTGTTCAAGCGAGCCTCCATCTCCTGCGGCGTCAGAGATTGCATCTGACTATAGATGGTCATCACTTCATCCTCAAAGTCGCATGTCACCTGACTGTCTGTGGCAGTGGGAGGCAGGAAGCTCTCGCTGGCCCGGGTCTTGGATGTGCACCTCCTCAATGCACCTCCCGGAGGTGGCGTCACTAGGTCTATGTTCGCGCTCATAAGTTCCTGCAGTCACACCAAAAACCATCCATCCCAGGTTCACGGAATTTCACGGAATTTCACGCTCTACTGATCACATAGACGATCTATATGGGCATATTCACGGAATTTCACGTTTCTTCACGTTTGTAGTCTCTCCCCGGAACACTTCAATGTCATACACCTAGCAGCCCTTAAAGCTTATAGAAGACCTAATTTCACGATAGTTCTTGGGGTATGGCGAGACCTCTAGAGGACCCACAGGTCACTTTTGATGATGAACCACTATTGATAGAGGTTTCATTTAGCTTTCAGGGTGACAAACATATATGAGTTTCACTTTTGGTGGGTTTAACTTTTTGTATGTTGGTGAGATTAAGTGAATTTCACTTTTTTGTTGAAAGTGTAAGAAACGTGAATTTCACTTCTATATATAGCTTTGGTGAGACGTAGTGAATTTCACTGTTCACCCATTTTCACTATTCACAGGTCTGAAACGTGAATTTCACTATTCTCAATCCACCATTGTCGACGCATCAGATACGAATTTCACTTGTATACTCATAGTCAGTGGTGTCAGAACCGTGAAATTCACTTTATTTGTATCATTGCCAATTGGTGTTGGAAACGTGAATTTCACTGTAAATTGCATAACCAGCGGTGAAGAAACGTGAATTTCACTTTTACTCATATAGTCATTAGTGTCAGAAACGTGAATTTCACTTTTACTCATATAGTCATTGGTGTCAGAAACGTGAATTTCACTTTTACTCATATTCAGTGGTGTCAGAAATCTGATAATTTCTGTTGGAAACGTGAATTTCACTTTTTTTTGTATAGCCAGCAGTGCCAAAAACGTGAATTTCACTTTTACTCATACAGTCATTGGTATCAGAAACGTGAATTTCACTTTTGCTCAAAGTCAGTGGTGTCATAAATTTTAATTTCACTCGATCCTGTTGTGTGTTTCACCTTTAATCTGTCAGTGTCCCATAGTGACTTGGTGAAAATCACTTTGTGGATAAACAGGTTTTGGTGAATTTCATTCATTAGGAAAGCTTAGAGGAAGTTCCAACACTGTGTCAAATGATCATTGGTTGTGAAATTCACTCTTCTGGTTGTTGTTAAATCTCAGTGGTCATGCATGTCACGTTTCTGGTGATGGATCCAAGGATCGCCAATTTCGATTGCAAGACTGCATATATTTGGCTGGAGAAGCAAGCTGCCACTCCAGAAGCTCGACTGGGTAAAGGGAAAGGGTTTGTGGGTAGGACTGATGGGAAGCATCCTGAATGTTATGTATTCTGAATTCTTCTATGGCCCGTTGGTGGTCCTTGGCAACCTTTCCAACAAAAGGAACCTAGCTTATGTATAAAGTTATATATTTTGTTATAATATAGATTTTGGTACATACGAAGGAGCTTGCGTGACCATACAAGTATCAAGTACCAGCCAGCCTTCGAAGTCGATGATGAAGGCGTTGGGATATCAGGCACAAGGTCGTTCCTCATAAGGTCAGGTACTTGTAATCAGTGTAATGGTGGAGCAAATGCGTTCTAAATACTCGCAACCAAGTCTCAAATCAATGGTGAAGACTATCTCCAACCACACGTGAAAACCCCTTCTTGAACAGATCCAGCAACAGAGTCATTCAAAGATCACAGATGCTGATTTCAGCCATGACAATCAGACCCCCCCAAATCCCTACAAACCCTGAATATCCCTGAATTGTTTAGCTACTAACAGGGGACTTGGGGGGGGGGGGCCAGATTTTCATAGCCATCGTGATCAAGAGGAAAGACTTCTATAATGAAGGTTTAAAGCAATCCTTTCCGAGCTCCGTGCAGATCAGCTTAAAAGATCCATCTCGAGCAGCAGAGTGCACACTGGAAAGCTGACTAGTTTTCTTGGACAAAAGTAAGAAATACATATCTAGTATACTATACATGTATTTGCAAGCGTGGAAATCTTGCATGCACTCTCCTGGCAAATACCAATCTAGGAATCTAGGATATCTGCAAGACCGGAATCGTCCGACTGTTCACTGCCATCATCCTGGAACACCAGGCCAGTGTCATCGACAACCCGACCGCTTGCACCACGGTCCCTTGGAAAGATTGGATCATGAAGGCCCGGGCCCAATCTATTGAACTGATCTTTTTCAAAAGAACAAGGCTAAGGCCAATGCATTTCTTCTCGAAGTAGAGTGCCAAGCTGACAGGGAATGGATTTAGCTACAGGCCTGCAAGTATGACCTGCATGACCAAGCCCGCAAACCCAGCCCCAATGGGTATGCCGCCGTTGCTGCCAAGTCACGACCACCAACCTGGGCACAAAAAAGTACATATGGACACTCTTTTCACGAATTTGAGGTCATCTGGGTTGCAGGCGACCTTCATCTCATTCTGCTTGGACTTGTAGGGGCGGGCGGTTTCAATACCGAGCCTTGACTTCAATCGAGCAAGTCGCTGCCTGGAGCCAGTGGTCATATAGGTTGGTTCCATGACCATGCACACATCATTACACGTACTAGTGGCCCACAAAGTCAACCAGCCTCCAAAAACAACCTCTATTGTTCGTCATTGTCTTTGTGACCCTGGCCTTTGCCCCACATCGGCCTTTTTGCCAAGTCTATGAAGAAAAGGACAGTTGGTCATCACAGTGATAGGCTTCCTGATGGTCAGAGGTCTTTGCACCAACGAAGTGGCCACACACGTGCAATTCACAATGCGCAGCAAACATGAGGGTTCAGTCACTAAGATTGCATGTTTTTGAAAAGGCCAACTGTCCAAGTAGCAAAGTTTGGGCTCCGTAGGCACCCAGCTCAATCTTGACTTCATAGGCAGAATGTCGCTCCAAGAGTTTCTGCAGCAGGGAAATGAATTGCTCCACAGGGCAATTGTGAACACAGCTTATAGAGTTTAGTTTACTACTGCCTCCAATGGCCGGTAGTACCATAGCAGCGACGACTGTGGCTGTTCCAAAGCAAAAAACGCATGCTTCTTGCACACGTACTCAATCCTAGGCGCAAAGGCAATGACATTTAAGAAGTCTTTTGTGGACATTCCATGGGCAGTGGTGAGCAAAAGAAAACACTTTGGGTACACCATGGGTCAGATAGCACGCTCGTCGAATCAGCCTGTTTGCTTCTTTGACCTTATGGAAGGCTTTCGAACCTGCACAGATCTCATGGGTCCAGGCTGCAAGCACAGGAAGCCAAATACAACAAAGCAGAACATCAAGCCTCTAGGACGGGTGCGAGTTCTCCCCGTAGACCCTCGAGAAAGCCACACCCATGTAGCGCAGGGGGGGGGCTATCCAATATAGCCCCCCCCCTGCGAAGCGTCCGTAACTCAGAGCACATAAAGGCAGATGTCGCTTTTCTTTAACAATCCATGGAACCAAGAAACATTTTGCAAAATAGTCATGAAGCCAAGGCTGGTCATAATGTTGTGCCCACGATGATATCGAATCTGGGGCCAGGTTTGGAGAAAGCTAAAACCAAGTTAGCAAGTGATGCAGCGCATATATACTTTCAGAAGCCTTCAATTATGTCAAGGAGCATCTCGCTTTTTGCCACGAAGTTGCTGCATGCGCACCCCACAGCAAAGCAACCCCTCACCAGCGCAGTCCTCCTGGAAAGAAGTCTCCTCATCATGGCCAACCCTTCCAAAAGCCAACACGAGTATTTGGATCACAGCGCCATGCAAACCATACTTCATGGCGACGCGACCGGCCCCACGCCACAAACGTGATGTGTTGCACAAACCAACAAAGTATATCCACAATTGGAAAACTGCAAGAAATATGATTGCGCATTTGTTTGTTTGCTTACATTTCACAGAATATCGAGCCGTGCGCTTGCAAGCTGCAGTCAATGATTTCACACACAGGCAGTGGCGTGCACACACGCAATTGCTCTTTGAAGCAATACATCCTTGAAAGAAAATGGGGGCACCTGCCAGAGAAGCGCCATGCACCTCCAACATGCATTTTACAGAAGAGAACAGCAGCAAACATCAGGAATGCCAAGGTTGCTCAAAACACAATCAAAGCACAAGAAGGATCAGAAGCTCTGCACTTATCACACAGCGACCCCTTCACATAAGATCCCTTGCTCACACAAAGGCTACCCCACAAGGAAGCATCACTTTGAAGCCTCCTGAAAACGCCCCGCTTGCTCAAACGAACCTTCTCCGCCGCCGCTCTGGGGATGGCAAACTCTCTATGATAGCCATCCGGGTCTTTGAAGTCTTCCACAAAGCTCGGATCTCTGGTCCTGAAAAGCCTTTGGCCTTTTTTCTCGAGAAAAAGGCGGCCATAGCCTCGCCCATTGGCCCATTGTTTGGCTTGCGCGTTTGCTTCTCCTTCTTTTTCACTGACTGCCCCGCAAGCTTGGGGGCCTTTGCTGCCAAGTCAGATGACCCCAAAGGTTTGGAAGCCTTCTTGTCAGAACGCTTCTTGGCCTTCTCAGCCTTGATTTCACCCATCAAAGCTCTTTTGCTCATCGGTTCTACTGGAGGGGGCGTGTGCCCATCATTGACAACAAAGATCTTCCTGCTCGAAGGAGTGCTCATGCAATCTCGAAGGCGCTGTGGCGCACGAGGAGTCGAAAGGCTATCCAAGACTTTCTGGCGGAACTGTGCGAAGGATATGTTTTCCTTGGGCATGCCAGGCACACAGACACCACGAAGTCAATCGATGAACGCGTGATGGACAGGTCTAAGAATGTGGCCATGCAATGCACTAACCTGAAAGCCCTGCGAGCATTCATGGACAGCCAAAATGGATTGAATGTGGTTTACCATATGTATACACATGTATGCATGGTAAATCACCTGTATTTGCAAATCACACTATGGACGACATAAATATAAAGTGCTCATTTTTCTCAATCAGCATTGAGGGTCCGTCTCATCCTCCACCTGGCAAATTTACATACCAAGGTATTGCTCACACAGCTGCTCACCACTGGCCTTTGGATCTGGATGGTTTCCAGCTTCTAGCCCTTCACGCAGTTCCTGGGCAAAGGGGCCGGTGCGCGAGCAGGGATCCAGTGAAGAGGGACTCCAAGCAGCCAACACCGGGGCCCACGTAGAGAGATGGGGGGACCTCAAAAACAACTTCATGCCACCCTTTTGTGAGCCAAATCCAAGATAGACAAATTGACTGGCGCACCTCAGCGACAAAGGGAACCACAGCACTTGTATCCTGGGCAGCTAAAAGTGAACTTCACTGCTTTCTAGTTTGCAGGACTTTTGCAGTTCCTCTTTCCCTTTTGTTTTCCATTCACAGCTCTTTGGCGATCAATGAATTTTCCATTTTTGGGGATTGAACAGCACAGTTTTGGGAATAATCCATGAAAGTCCAAAACCATTTACTTCTACCATCATTGCCAGGATATGTTGTCTTGAAATGAGCTGAGCGTAGGACAACCTCTTGGTCGTCCTCCAGTGGGTCCTGATAAGCCGGTTGGGTCACAGCCACTAATATGATACTTCTATTAAACTATTTACACACCTCCTCTTCTTTTTCTTCTTGTGCAGGGTCGCTATTGTCGATCAAGGCTTCTTGAGGGTCAGCCTCAAAAGACAAAATACATGCAACCTAAGACCTTGATCAAAAAACAATTTGGCCCAGCCTCGTCTTCAACGATAGGGTCCAGGAGCTCTGTAGTGTCCAGGTTCTCCGGGAGCTCTGTAGGCGCCAGGTCCTGGCATTGAGTTAGAAACCATAGGTCATCCTCAAAGTTCCAACGGTCCTCATCCAAGGGTGTGGCAATCAGCTCTCGAGCCTGGGCAAAATATATCATATATATATATGTTATGGGGAAAATCACCGCCACAGGATAAGGAGCCACGCTTCATCGGAGCTTTCATTCGAGTCCTGCAAAAAAGACTCTGTGACAGATTGTTCGATTCCACTGGTTGGGCTCATGACCTCAACGTCACTTTCCACTTCCAGGTCACCATCATCCTGAAAGACCAACCAAACTCAAAATATGAACAATTTTAGGCATCAGCTCAAGGCCTCATGAACTTCCGGGTCTGCCATCTTTCTGCGTTTTCGTGGGTTGTCCTGCAGCAAGACGCAGGACAGATTGGGAGAGTGGGCGGGTGGAACCACCTACCTCCTCCATGGCAGCGCAAACCTGCCATTTCAACCAATATATACACACAACCGCAATCCACTCACTCGATCCAGCCTCGGGCCCGGATGGATGAGGATCACTCGAGCCAACTTCCTGAAGGCGATCGATCAATGAAGATTCGAACGAAACCAGCACCTTGGAGACCAAGAAAAAAACGTTAGATGAACACATACAGTATATATATATATATATTTGGTCCAACAAAATTGTTTGATCGAGTCATCAAAGGATCCTTTGAACTCATTCTTTTGGCCTTCCTGGCCATGAGCTGCAGCCGTAAAGCTTCCTTGGATACGTAATCCGTAAAGGATTCTTTGGGATCTCTGGGCGGCGTGAACTGGAGCCTCCGAAGAAGCTCCCGAATGATAAGCTTGCACAAGCGACTGGTAAATATCCGTCCGCCATAGACGCCAAGAGTGACAAAACCAAAGATACGCTTCACACATCGACGCTTCAATGTGCCTCTTGGAATGAGTCGCCCACTGCGCTCGATGTCTTCTATGTTCAGTCTGGGCAGTAAACGGTCCACAAACGCTCCAGCGCGGGCCTGTCGTTCTAGTTTTTGCTCTTCACGCCGTCCGACCATCTCGACCGTTGCGCAACTAGATCGATCAGTTCTTGAATACTAATTCCTGTATTGAAAACCTGTCCCTTATTTTTCAGGGTGATTTTTAAAGACCCATCCAATACCCCCCAACAATCAATCTCTGTTATTCTTCAGTGGTTCAGGGTTCATGATCAAGGCAGTTTGAGCAGCTGGCATCCAGCAAAGTCAGAAAATCTGAGGATCCGAAATGCACATTGCTCTTCGATCGGCCTGGCCTGCTGCCGCTTCGCGCTCATCACACATTGCCCGAGTGAGCTTGGAAAAGTGATCCAATCCGAATTGCTCAAGTGAATATGGTTGCACAAAAAGTGAAACTATATGGTGTGTAACCAAGCTGTGCCAAAATTAGAGGGGATAGGGACCTTGAAACATAAATAGGGATAATAGGTAATAGGGCACTGTTTTCCTAACTGGTGCACTTGGAAGTGTGAACTATAAGAAAGTATTGGTTCTAAAAAACGTACAGTAATTAGTATGAGCAAGAACAGCCTGCACCTTAAGAAGCGGGCAGTGCTCAGACACAAACATCAACACAAAAACAAGCGCGCGCAAACGTGGAACCACAGCATCAAGAGCGAGTTCTCGAATGTCCCAACTCAAACGATGTAGGTTGTTGACTGGCATTTCCAACCATGCATCCTAGGTTATTAATTTCCGAGTTACACACAAATAATTGAAACTTCCGAGTTCCGGAGTTGTACAGTCTGACCTCCCAAACTACACGGTTGAATATAACCTGCAAGCGCATAAAAGTGAACTTGCACAACACGAGTTTTGGATAGAGATGCAGTCAAACAAACCTGTCAGTGTCATCACATGAGCCAAGGTTCTTCCACGCAGCTGTGCACTTTCCAGTGAGGGTAGTGGTGAACTTTGGAAAACATGAGCCAAACCATGCATGGTTGCGGAGCAACACAGAAGAGGGACCTATGTGGCCGGTCAGTTTGGTGGTCCTATATGGCCGCTCAACCTCTCCTGGGTTGGATTGATAATGAGTCGGTCATATTCAGAATCCTTTGGCACGGCGAAAATCCCAACAGTTTCATGGCGGTCAACTTCTTTACAAGGAAACAAGGCTAAAGACCCATGGGCATCCCAGATTTTCAGAAGTTTCAACAACTCAGGACGAGAACATTGAACACGGGCCCTACCCCTATCTGGCCAGCTTGATTCTGGCATCCTCAAAGTGTTGGGATCGTCGAACACGGATTTCACAATGGGATCTAAGAGATAAGGCCGGGGATCGAAAGATGGGGGATGCTTCCATTTGATTCTTGACGCAATTACCTGCTTGTGTCCTAGGTCTTTAACCGCTATTTCGGGGGGACTATAGGTACATCGGGAATGTTCATCTTGATGTACTTCGTGATTTTTGAAATGCGGAGTCTCAAAAGATGCGTACGAATCGAAACCTAATTTGATGTCACGCAGCAATGCACTAAGGTCCACATCCGCGTGCTGCGGCAGTTCCTGCAGCGACTTTCCCAAAGCCGCGAATTTTTCACCGAACCGTCCTAAGTCCGCTGGACTAAAGGCTGGCACGTCGCAAAAGTGTGAAATGTGCTCTTGCAAGGTCTCTAGCACTTTATATTGGGAATCGGTCCAAGGCTCGCCCGCCTGGGCCTCTGCTGGTGGCCGGTCTGGGTATCCTAAGGTTATCCAATTCAAAAAGCACACAACTCTTTGCAACAACAAAAACTGAGCATACAGCTTTCTCCTACGACGGCGTTGTCTGGGTCCCGGTGACTGGTTGCTAGTCCATCTCCACAGGGGTGGTGGGACTGGCCACAAAGGCTTGCTATTGGTCGGCAAGCCAACAGTGCGTGAGAGCCAAGCTGGCACTAAAGATTTCGATCTAAACGTGTTGTAGCTGCAGGGGACTTGCTCAACCTGTTGCAACGCTTCAACCAAAATCATGAGAGGCTCAAAAGTGTCAGCATTGGGTTTGAACGGAACATTGCAATTAAAACAATCGAAAGGGGTCCTAAGGCTCTTTTTGCAATCAACAGAAAAACTACATTGCCCCAGAGAGCTCTGTGCGGTGTCCCCCGGCTTTCGGTTCATGCAGTGGAGCTGCCCGAGACCGCTTCGGATCCCTTTGCTCCCTTTCCGCCTTTGGGCTTCCTTGGCTTGAATTTCGGCTTCTGAGACCGATCTTCTGCGTCTGCTTCGGCACTGGGGAGATTCTGCGACTTTCCGACACCGAGCTGCCGCAGTCTGGTGTCGAACATGTCCACGTCCTTCAAATAGCTCAGATTGGCAGCAATCCAGGTCGGAGGGGCCAACTTTGCAAAAGGAGTCAACGTTGACCGCTTTTTGTTCAGAGCCAGTTGCTGGAAATTGGGTTCTGGTAGGCCCGTCATCAACCAAGCCAACCCCGTCCTGCCTGAATCTAGACATGACTGTTCGACGAACATCATCATCCTTCCACAGAAGGCCATGAGTTGGTGATTTTGGCTGGTTTCGCCGATCTCCCAGCCCCACGCTAGCATATACCCGAATTGCGCCATGGTCTTGTGATCTCCTATTGGGATCCTTTGCTCCAGAAACTGGCGGAGCAAAGCAGGTTCCTCTCGACCCTGTGGGATGCCCAATTCTGTTCGGGCGTTCATCTTCACCTGATCCACCAGCTTGCGATCGTCTTGCAGCTGGCGAAGGAACATCTCCCTCGCGGCATAACCTTTGACAGAGACGCCGCTTGAGGAGCTGGCGGCTCCGTTGTCCGAGCCGCTTAGCATAGCTGCTATTGGGTCTGCCTGAGATTTTGGAACTAAAGCTTTCACTAAGTCCTGGGTTTGTCTCATCTGCAGAACCATCAATCGCTGAAGAGGATCCGAGCTCTGTGCCAACTGGGCCAAAACCTGCTGTTCCAAAACTTGTGTTTCGGTGTCTAAGTCGATCACACCTCTGTCGGCTTCTGCCATCAAAGCTTCTTCCATGTGGTTCCTGGAGCGGTCGACCTGTGGAAGGGCCGATTCGGCTCGCCCAAGACGGCGAGGTGCCGGGCCCACTGCTTTGTGCAGTCGATCGAGCTCTGCTTCTGTGAGCTGCTTTCGTTTTGCAGACTGGTCGAACAGAGTAGACTGATGACCTCGATCGTGGGCCGCGGCTGGTCCTTTGCCAGCCTGAACTTTCACTAGGCCTTCCAACATAGCAATTCGATCCTTCAAGGCAGAGATCTGGTCCTCGGCATCTGGATCTACTGGGTTGCTGGGGCTTCCGACTTCGAAGACACCATCGGGCGGCACATCCTCGACCTCGCCTTCTGCAGCTGAAAGGTACTCGTTGGCAGTATCTACATCCAGCATGCTCATAACCCAATGTTCCGCAACATCCAAAGCTGATTCCAGAATAGGTCTTCCGACGGCTGTCTCGAAGCGGAAACTGGTCAAAGGCAAGTTGCTGCGACCAAACTTTCGAAACAGTGGCAGATACGACCAGGGCAAATCTGCTATTAGGACTTCGGCATCGCCCTGAAACCGACCTCTGGCAGTTTCGAACGAAACGTTGACTGTGGAAACGACAGCCACTTCCTCTCCCGGGCCTACGGCATATGCATGAAACACATCCTTGATCTCCTGGCCGGATGGCAGCATGACCATGAAACCATTTGTCCGAGCTCGCAGCATAAACACTTGGCTTCGCCATGTCGCACTACCGGTGGCTGAATCTGTCAAAACTGAAGCTGATAAGCGCTCACGCGCACCACCAGCTATGGCTTGAATCACAATCTCTGCAGTGAGGGAGCTGTTCACAGCTCCACTGGCCATCCCTTCCTAGATGCTTTACGCTCAATTGGAGATGAGCGATGCACACTGCAGGGAGGATTTGATTCCTGCCCGAGTCTAGTTGACTCACCGACTAAATTGCGAAGTGAGCGGCTTGACTTTGACCAAAAACCTTTGGGCTTGTCAGGGCAATACAAGCGAATAGGGAAACAGCACCGCAGTCCCAAAATGTCCGGACCGTCTGTCCTGAACTTCCCAGATTCTAGGCACCGGCGAGCTCGAAAACCAGCTCGCGCAGCAGCACGGGTGCACCAGCCGTTCACGGTGCTCAGAGTACTCCGAAACACACGCAAGTGATCAATGCAGCTGAAGTCTAAAGCTTTCACAGCTTCAGGGGACTTTGCAGCAAGACCTTGAGTTGGTGGGGTTGACGCCACCTCCCAGCCCGCCACGATTCGCCGCTCAGCGGCTTCCAGCCTCACGCGCAGGTCGCGAACCTGCCGCTCGATTTCCAGCAAAGAAGCGCGCGATGCAGCAATCTCCGTGCTCACGCACGGTATTCACCGAACCTCCGTTGCAGGCCGGTGGCTGTCTGGGCCACCAAGGGAGCAGGATGCAGCGCTTGGAACACCACCCCAAGCAACTGGACAGCTAAATGTCTACACCACCGAGATGCAACAAGGATCCCAATGCAGATTCCAACGAAACAGCCGCAGGCGCAGGAAATCCAAATGGCAAGGATGATGAAGCCCCAAGGACAGGTGCCCGATGGAGCGGAAAAGAATCGAAACTCCCTAAGGGTTTCAAGGAAAAGGGCGCTACTCCACATCAATTGAACCCAAAAGCTTGAGTCACATCGTTCCCATTCGCTCGAAGGATACAGGTGCATATATGGAAGACAGATCAAGCAGTTGTTTTTTAGTTGCAGGCACAATTACTAATCATGATACAGTACTTGCAATAAACCAAATTGAACTTCATGCAAGAGATGCAACAAAAAGAGATTCAACGACAGGAAAATAACAAGTAGGAGCACTCCTATGAATAGGCGGCTGTGCTCCTGGGAACGAGTCTATGTCCTAGGTATCTGTTAAAACGGCACAGCTTCCCAAACACTGTATCTTGAAGCATTGAAGCATAGCCATGAATCAACTTTGTCTATGTCACATCACGCCTACAATGTGAGCAAAAGAGGGTTTACCCTCACGAGGAGAGAAAACTCGCGATGTGAGTTTGGCAGGGTGTCAAAGGATACGTTCCCTACCACCGTCCTTTTACCAGATCGTTCTAAAAATGGGGCTACTGCCGGGCTACTGATCAAGGTAAGAACTATGTCCGAAGGATATGCCATGATCATGGTAAATCTCAAACGTGTGCCAAGTGTTTCATCAGCTCCCTTCTATTCAATTCCTTAGTTGGTCTGGTACCTCCACAGCATCTGGCCTTTCTTGCGGGCCACATGTGGGGAGGGGTGACGTGATCTGAATCCAGCCTGAGCGCAGATGGTACTTTGCATCCGCACCTCCAAAGAGAAACAGGCGAGTTGATGTGCACGGATCATCACAAGGAACCAACCGTTGACACATGCCAAAAACAGCTACAACCCTACAGTGGTTTCAGAGGCTCGATGGCACAATCCCCAAAAGGGTTTATATGATTCTATAATTCTATATGAGTCTAAAAGACATTAGGGGTGGGTATGCCCCATCGAGCCTCTGAAACCACATTAGG